TATTCCATAGTTGATGTATATAGTTGATGTATATAACTTAATATATCTTGAAATGTATAACTTAATATTACATTAAATGACTTTTTTATAGATTATGACTTATTAGATACTATAAGGTAATCTTGGCTAAATACTATATTGTATTATTTGTTCAAAAGTCTATTATGCTACCTCATAATATATCATATTTTGCTACCTCATAATAGGTCATATTTTGCTACCTTATAATAAGCATTGAAAAAATGCAAAAATATGCATCAAAGGACTAGATCTAGCTGTAAAGCCCAAGTGAAGTAAGAAAAATATTAGGAATAAAGAAAGAATAAAAAAAATTAAAAATATATTTTGAACAGATGTTCAGAGCAAAACAAATACACTATAGTAAAGCGTTTAGTATAAAAATAATAATGATATACTCAGACGCTTAATAAAAAACTTTAGATACACTAGACTGAGCAACGAAAGCCCAAAGAGTAATATGAAACATTTCTATTGAAAAAATTTATTATATAAAGGAGGATAAGTAATAAAAAACAAAGAAAAACAAAGAGATGTTCAGAATAAACACAGATTTATTTTAAGAAGAAAAAAGCTTGTACACAAATCATAGCGAACACTAATTTTGTCGTTAAAGTATTCCTAAAACAAAACAAGACACAAATGTAATCATGAATATTCATTAAATACAAATATTTAACTTACTTTAAAACAAATATACATATGCATACGAATATTTGAAGTAAATATAAAATGATAAGAGGTATAAGATAAAGAAAAAACATTATTGCTTTTATGTAATCATAGTTTATGTCGTGGTGCTAATAAACTTCTTCTTAGAATCGCGTTTATTATTACCGGCGTTTCGAAGAGGCTTAGGACCAATGCCTAATTTATCCCGTCAGATAAACATCATTGCCATTTGTGCTTTACTCTGCGATTATATTTTGAAAAATATAAAATTATGCATCAAAGGATTATGACCGAGCTGTAAAGCCCAAGTGAAATATGGTAAAAATTAGGAATAGAGAAAGATTAGGAATTATTTAGAAGAGAAAAAATAGGAAAGGAATTTAGAAGAGAAAAAATTGGAAAAATTAGGAATAAAGAAATATTAAAAAAAGTTTTTTAAAATATAATCATATTTGGAATATTGAATCATTTTTTGAATTTCTTGAATAAAGTAGGTTTAAAGTAATTAAAATTAACACAATGAATTGGGTTTGATCTCAGCACTGAGCATGGGTAGATCCACGGTGTTTGGCATTGTATGCTCCAAAAGTACTGAGTGGATCGTTTGAAGCCTACAAATTAACTAACAAGATTTAATCTCTCACTCCTATTTATGATGTCGTCTAGTGGGCGAAATTGAGTTTAAGTGGGCAAGATTTATCACTTTTGACCCTCTGTACAGTTTTTCATGTTAATGTCAAACAAAAGTATAAAAACTAAAACAGTTTACATAGTTTTATAGCAAAAAGACTAAGCAACCTAATGATGCGTAATGCAGCGGTGTAAGTCTATAAGCAGTCTGTCAGTAGCAATTTTAGTGCGAATGTGGGCAAGATTTGATTAAACTACCCTAAATAAGAACTTTCTTTGACATGTTGGTTGTAAAGAAATAATTTTTTTGTTGTTCAAAAAAAAATTAAGCCTTTAGGAAATATTGGATAAAAACTGTTTAAAATCAATCTTCCTTTCATTTATCCAAAGCTATGTTACTTATTTTAACATTGTTGGAGCAAGCACGTATCCATCAAAATTAACGTGTATCTGAAAAGTGCAAAAACAAACAACACGCCTTATTCTTAAAGCTTATAAATACACCAGTGTCATCCAACTGCAAAGCTTACAGTTTTAAATGTTTATCAATTGAATATTTATAATATTCTTTTACTCACGTTCAGATTAATATTTTATAAGTCAAACATTTTTGAGAAAACATTTGCTGCCAAACATTTTTAAAAACCTTTTTTTTTATTATAGATCATAAATATCAAACAAAGCCTTCATTTCATAATCAATAATTTTTTTAAACAATCGGAACTCTCAATAAAATACCGCGATTTACTTTTGCGGAAATAATTTCTTCAAATTAAAAGTAAAAAGCATAGTAAAAAGGATGGTCCATAAATTCCGCAACGCGAATTATTTATAAAATAGTTTTGGTTTAATTAAAGCTCTGCGAGTGAAAACTTTTGATCTTGTTTGATTTGTTTACTATTTAAATTTAGCGTTGTGTAGTTTATAGAAGATCTAAATTATAATTTCATTTAAGATTTTTAAAAGTACTTTTATAAAAGCAGTTGCTTGATTATGACATACCTATCTTTTTCATTTTTTAAATATTCTCTTATATTTTTTAAGTCTTCCTCCGTTTGTTAAAAAACGCTATTAAAAGCGCTGAGGCTATAATTTTTTTTAAATATGATATATTACTGTTTAATATGTAAATGATATAACGGGACTTGGTCACTTATAAAATGAATCTTATTTAAATGCAAGAAATTAACTACAAATGTCAGACTCTTACGCAAACTTAAAGCCTATGGTATAAACGGCATAGTTTTAGACTGGATAGCAAACTGGTTAACGAATCGTTATCAACAGGTTGTAATCGACAAGATTAAATCTAAATGGAAATATGTAACAAGCGGGGTACCACAGGGCTCTGTGCTCGGTCTACTTCTTTTTATCTTATATATAAACAATCTGCCGGACTATATTACTCATCACATAAAGATTTATGCCAATAATTGCAAAATAATCGGAGTACTAAAATCTGAGAAGGACAAAAGAACATTGCAAACTGACATAATCTTGTAGATTGGTCGCATAAGTGGATAAACTCTAAATCTATTCAAACTTATTCGATGCTTAATTTGAGTAGAAACAGAATTCGACCGGACGTCACTAAACACAAACATGATCTAGGAGTATTTCTATCAGACGATCTTAAAGTAAGCTATCAAGTCAGATCAGCAGGCCCGACGAGAGGGGGGCAGAGGGGGTATTTTCCCCGGGCCCGGGCCCGTAGGGGCCCGGGCCCATCACCATCGGTGTCTTAGTCTATCAGGCCCCAGTCTCCAGGTAATCAGCCAATCCCCATCAAGCAACATTGTGTCTGCATCACTTCATCAGTTAGATAAATAAATAAATTTCCTATGTAATATTGATAGGATAAATCTATTCTTTATTAATAATTTAATTTATTTAATGAAAATACGCTTTTGAGAGTAAAAACGGAGACTAATAGCCTCTAAAACTTGAAAAATAAATATAGGGCACCAGCCCGCAGGTTTTTCGTAAGTTCCTTGCTCATGCCATGCTTTATAATATATATAATAGGCCTATATATATATATAATATAAATATATAATATAATATAATATATATAATAGGCCTATATATATATATATATATATATATATATATATATATATATATATATATATATATATATATATATATATATATATATATATATATATATATATATATATATATATAAAACCTGCAAACTTTGTCTTCATGAGAAGTTAGAAATTTTATCTTTTAATGGAAACAACCTGCTTAATAAAAAAGACGAAATATTATCTAAATGTCGACATTTAAATAAATTCCTGTTATCTTCGTTTGATACTGGAGATTAAATGATTGTGCCTTTTCAAATTACGTCAGAACTCGTTCTACTGTAAAATTTTGATTCGTTTTTTAAACGTTAATTTTTAATTTTTAATTTGTAATTAATAGCTGATGATTGCCGAAAGGCACGAAACTTTAAGTACTATTATAATGTTGTTTTTCTTCATTGAAATAAAATATATATATATATATATATATATATATATATAATTTAATTTATAAAGTTATATATATATATATATATATATATATATATATATATATATATATATATATTATATACATATATCTATTTTATTTATACAGTATATACTGTACTGTACATTAAACTGAACTTCTATTTTAACTTTTAACAATTATTAATTGTCATTTATTTTAATTTGTCAATTTACTTATTAACTTAACTAATAAATTTTTGTTCTATTGTTACAGGACCTCGCATAAGCAGCCTACTACATGCAGCTATGGATCATTACCAGCATAAATCTGGTGCTCAAAAAAGAAAAGATTGCTCGAGAAAAATCAGCCAAGAAGGGTCAAAGTACGATTGAGTCTTTTGGATTTATAAATTGTAATCGTATTGATGGTGTTTCTGAGGATCAGATGTGCAAGATGAAGTCACAACTCTCAAATGTTGAAGTAGAGCCAGTGCCAATTGAGGAAGATGAATTGTTAAATAGGAAAGTTATGAGTGCTGATGTGAAAGAGAATGTAATAGACGAAAATGAAAATATTCTTCCAAAGACATCAACTGCAAGGCTAGAAGAATTACAAGACAAGGCAGATGATGTCCAACTAGTTCCATCAAATAACTATGATATTGGTTTAATTAAGGAATTGTTTTGCACTGCTGAACAAATAGAAAAATTTGTTCATCATGGACCCATTGCTCACCCAACAAAATTTCCAAAAGATGCATTGCCTAAATTATTTCCGCGCACGTTATTTCACATTGCCATGCCAAATGGCAAAAAAATTCCACGAGATTGGCTAACATGGAGTGAGACGAAGAATGCACTTTACTGTTTTCCCTGCCAACTTTTCTCTAAAATACCAGAAACCCATCGATCGGCATTATCTCTGCCAACAGGATATTCCAAGCCCAAGGACAATAAATGGAAGAAACTTTATGAAAAAATTCCTCATCATCAATCCAGAGACGATTAGAAGAAAATCTCAGAGATAATACAACTATTAATTTTCTACTAAATGATAATATAAAGACAGAAGTGGAAAGATGGAGGCAAATACTTCGTAGAGTATTAGATGTTATCTTGTTTTTGGGTGAAAGAGGTCTTGCATTTAGAGGCGATAGTCATCTAATTGGTGACCCCAAATATGGGAATTTTTTGGGAATTATGGAACTCATTGGTCATTACGATTCCATTCTACAGGATCATCTCGAAAAAGTAAAATCTTCTCAACAGAGCCATAAGCGAATGCAAGCACATTATTTGTCAAATGATATCCAGAATGAGTTTATTCAGTGCTGTGCAGATAAAGTCACAGATGTGATATTAGATGAGAGGGAGAAATGCAAATATTTTTCAATGATTGTGGATGCAACGCCTGATACAGCTCATATTGAGCAAAATGTTTTTATTTTAAGATACGTCTTACAGGACAAATTGACAGGAAAATATGAGGTAAAAGAGAGATTTCTGGAATTTGTAGATTGCAATAAAAAAACTGGTGAAGATATTGCAAATATAATTACTTCTACTCTTCAGAAACATAAAATACCACTGATGTGCTGTCGTGGATAAGGATACGACAATGGGAGTAATATGAAAGGTTCAGTCAAGGGAGCACAAGCTCGAATTCTTCAACATTATCCACTTGCTACTTACTCTCCCTGCGCTTGTCATAGTCTGAATTTATGCGGTGCACAAGCTGCTGAATGTTGTCCTCAAGTGATAACTTTCTTTGGGATAGTGCAAAAACTGTATAACATATTTAGTAGCAGTCCTCAAAGATGGGAAATTTTAAAAAAAAAATATTGGTTCGTCTCTTCATAGCATGTCCCAAACGCGCTGGTCAGCTAGAGTGGACTGCATTAAGCCATTCGCAACCCACCTTCCTGGTATAATCAAATCAGTAGCTAGTATAAGGAACCTAAATTTGTCTATAGAAAATCGTGCTGATCTAAATGGGATTATTTCATATATGGAATCGTTTGAATGCATTCTGATGTCCGCTATATGGTTCAAAGTACTTACTGCAATCAATTACACCAATCTTGTTTTGCAAGCACGGAATGCTACATTGGATGTAGAAGTGACCAACATCAAACGACTAATTGATGAATTAAAAACTCTTCGAGATAAATGTGATTCTGTTATGGTGGAGAGTAAATTAGTTGCAAACACCTTAAACATTTCTCAAGAACTTCCAGAACCTAGACGAAAAATTAGGAAGCGATTTGCTGATGAGATACCTAATGAAATTTCTCTATCAAATTCTGAAAATAATTTTAAACAAAATGTTTTTTATATATTATTGGACTGCATTATAGGGAATATCAGTGGACGATATGAAGCTGCATATGAAATTGACGAAACTTTTAATTTTCTCTGGAAGTATAATCATTACGAAGAGGAAGAAATTCGCCGAAGGAGTAAGGATTTTGTTAATAAATACAAGGATGATGTTTCCATGGAGCTGATTGATGAGCTTTTGCATTTGAAATTTATCCATGATGTTAACATCAAAAATGATTTGGACCCCTTTCTTCTTCTCAATAAAATCAACGACCTGAAACTTATATGTCTTTTCCCCAACATTTGTATTGGCCTGAGAATTTTTTGTACATTACCAGTTACGGTAGCACAAGCTGAACGGTCTTTTAACAGACTGGCGCTTATAAAAAGTGATCTAAGATCAACAACGACGCATGGTAGAGTTTCTGGCTTGGGAATTTTAGCGATGGAGTGTGATTTAGCAAAAAAGATCAATTTTGACAGTGTAATTGCTGATTTTGCCAGTAGGAAAGCGAGGAAAGTTTTAATCTAACTAACAGGTTTTATATATTTTAATTTTGTTGTAGTTAAATTATATATAATTTTTCACTGTATTGTATTTAAAATATACTTGTAAATAAAATACTGTATATAGTCAAGTTAAAAAACTATTTGAATCAAAAGTAATATTATTCATGTCTGAATCCCTAAGCCCTGAGGGGGCCCGTCAGTTTGATATTACCCCAGGCCCGGTACCAGCTCTCCACGGCCCTGCAGATCAGCAGCAGCAAGAGCCAACAGTAAACTTGGCAGACTTAAGAAAGTTTTTAGAAGTCGTGGACTCTTTTTCTGGAAAGTACTCTACAAAATATATATAAGACCCCAGTTAGAATTTACTATCCAGGCTTGGTCACCACACAATGAAAAAGACATTGCTATTCTAAAACAAGTACAGCATAAAGCAGCTAAAACAATATCGGAAATAAAGCATTTGCCATATGAAGATAGACTTTTTCATCTAGGCTTAACTACTCTTAAAGAAAGGAGAGTTCAAGATGATCTGATTTAACAGTTTAAAATTTCAAAAGGTATTGATCAAATTATTTTTGATAACCCTCAAGTCTACGCACTATCGATTAACAAATATAATTTACGTGGACATTATCTTCGACTCGAACGCCAAAGGGTAAAAAACTGTCTAGAAAGATTTAACTTCTTCACTAATCGCATCGTGAATGTTTGGAATACGCTTCCTTTAAACGCCATAAGAGCTGAATCAGTCAAGGTTAGTGTTCATAAATTAAAATTCGTAATAGACGAATGATCGGACTCACGAGTGTCATGGAAGTGCCTGGTGTAGCACTTCCTCATCAAAATATATAAATGTATTATATAATCGATTTCTGAAATAAATAAACTCAAAACTCAAACTCCCCAAAAAAAAGTTTAAAAAAAAATTAGTTCAAAGCAAGATCCAGTAGATAATACTCACAAAGATATTCGGTTTCTATCTAAGCGTCCGATGAAAAATTAAAAAATTTTTTTGAAATAATTAAGTTACTCAATTAGTTTCATAGTGTCAAAAAAATTACGAAAATGTTTTTTTATTGTGAAAATCTGTTTCATTGTGTACGCAAATCTGTTTAGTAGATTTCGCGTAATTAACAATTAAAGTGTGCTAAATTTCATCGCGTTCAACCGATAAATAAGTAACTATGAAAATGACGAATATAAATTTTAAAACTTAATAACTTCTTCCCTATCGTACTCGTGCTTTCTCCTGAAGATGGCTGCTCTCATCTTAGGAATGTGAAAAAGCAGTATAAAAGACTATATTGTACTGGGGTATTGGACAAACGAAGGTCTTTATAAACAATTTGAGAAGAATTTGTACGTAAGCGAGATTTTTATGAAAACTCAAACTTTCACTTCGTTTTTTTTTTTTTTTGTAATTAAATTACAAAATACAAAAAAAAAGTGAATTTGAGCGAGAAGCAATTTTCAACATATCTTTAAGATTTTTCTTATAATAATTACATATGAAATACGGTACTGAGATCATGTTTTTGTTCTTAACAGGTACGCAGAAGTTTGCTTTGAGGGCCTTAATCATTTTACAACTTGTTTTCACTGAAAATTAATTTTAGTCTTGTCTTAATAAATAATCTAACCACGTATAAATATTTATCTGCTAAATGCAGCAACCTCTCGATGCCTTTCAAATTTAATAGTTGCTTTTTAAATACGGCATCATCAATAAATAAAAAAAATAAAATGTTGATTCGCATTATCTATACTTTGATACTTTTTTTATTGCTTCTTGAAAAAAAAAGGTTCTTTCATCGTTCTAGAATGTTTTGGTTAATTATTTAACTTTCTGATGGTTCTAGCAGTTCATGCGCATTTTAGAAGAATAATCAGTATTTTATACAAATTGAGAATTCTCTTAAAACACAAAAGTTTCAATATATAAAACAATTATATTTTCTATTTATTATTCTTTTAATTTCTTTTAAATCTTTTAGTAGCCAAGGTGCAGTGGTTAGAGTTTAGGCTCAGAGCCAAGAGGTCCAAGGTTTAATGCTGACTCTGGCCAGATAAGCCAGATTAGTAAAGAAGTAAGCATGAACTTTCTAGTTTAATGCTCTTCTATGGTGGTCTGTAATAAAACCTTCTTGGAGCCTCTTAATCACCACAAAAAAAAGTATACATTATTACCCCGGTCACAAACAGCTATTTTCTATTTACTTTTGGCAAAATGGCTTAATAAAAAAACACATTTTTAACCCAAACAAAAAATAATAATTTGTAACGTAGTGCAATCATACTAATAGAAAGCAATATTTATATAATATTAAATTTGGAGTGTTGTTCAATTTATAGTATTTTTTACGTGGGGTTATCCAAGATTCAAATCTTGATCATTAATTTGCTCTAAATACAATGTAATTAATTGGTTTAACAAGTGGGTCATTAAGCTTTTACCTAACTTTAAGAAAACAAATTGTACGCTATTTGATAAAAAATTACAAAATGAAAATATTCCTTTATTGTTACCTGATCATAGGCCGAGTGATAAAAAAAAGCAATTGTTTTCACTCAGCGTTTTTGGAGTAATTGTTTAACTTTACGTGAATAAAATTTTTAGCAAACTCGCTCAAATTTTTATCCACGTAAAGCCTAAGAATGTACTCCAAAAAAGCTGAGTAATTGTTCAACTTTACGTGAATAAAAGTTTAAGCAAAATTGCTTAAGTACGTATTCACGTAAAGCCAACTACTGAGTAAAAGCATTTCCTTATTTTTATTTACCCGGCCTCATATTTTTAATAAAAAGAAAGTAAAGATTAGATCAGAATACAAATCTTTTATAAAAAAAAAAGATATAATAAGTAGGTTAAATAAATTAATTAATAATGAGGAAGTCAGTAAATAAATAAAGAGATTCGTGTTGAATTTATACTTGTTTCACTATTCATAATATATCTAATAAAACGTTTTGGTATGTTGTATCGAGTTCACTAAATTTTTTTTTAATAATATTTTATGTATATATTTATAAATATAAAATTCTTTTAATGTAATGACAGGCAGAGACGCGTTTATATTTTTGACGCCCTGGGGCACTAATCCTTTAAGCAGACTATTATATTAAGCTAAACTCACTTAACATTAAAAAATTCATAATTTTTTTACTTGAGTTTTGTTTTGCAAATGAATTAATAATGTCATTAAAATTCATATCTATGGTAAGTGCAGATTCATTAGATAGAATTGCTAACCTATTAAAACAATCACCAGTCATTACCAACCTTAAATACAATTTAACCTTCTTTAATGCTCAAAATGATCTCTCGGCTGAACAATTGAAAGTTGAGCTGCATAGATATATCCTTAATGCTACATCTTACACTTATAACATATACAATTTTGACAGATATAGCATTAAAGATAGTTATATAGTTCTTGAAGTTTATCAGTTCTTATCATTTTACAAATATTTATTATAAATTTAGGTCTGATGTTTTCAGTTAAGTTCATTAAATAACTTCTAAATTGTATACACTTGTTAGCTAATGAAGTCGAACGATCATTTTATATATTTTTATATATTTTAAGTATTTCTGCTTTTTTGCAAACTTCTGATGGTGATAATTTTATTATTTGAAACAAAAGGTAAATTTTTTATTCGCTTCATCATAACACAATTTTTTTCTTTTTAGTTGAGAATTAATTTTATCAATAATAGCATAATATATGTTAATCCTTAAAGAGCCTCGAATTTCAAAATTTATTTCTCCTTCTCTT